CTCAGGCAATCCACTCACCTCAACCTCCCAAAGGCGCGGGATTACTGGCTGAGCCACCGACCCCCGGCTCTTGGGCCTTTATTGACCGAGAAGTGGGGGCGGTGATTGGGGAGAGACAGGGGTGGAGACGCTCCCTCGGCCTCTCGTCTTCCCAGACCAATCCCGGCGCAGGGGCGGGATCTGGAGAGGGAGAGCGCGGATCCTACCGCCTTCGTGTCATCAAGGCCCTGGTGCAGCGCTACATAGAGACCGCCCGGCGCGAGTTTGAGGAGACTCGTCGCAAAGGTGAGTGGTCGCCTCTGAGCCGTCCCGTTCCTGTTCCTTGCTGGGATAAGTGCCCCACACCCAGACTCAGCCCCCAGGCAGCTGCATGGGACCCCATCCTCCCTCTGCCTCTGGAAGGGCGGCCTGCCAAGGTGGCCCCCTTATACTCAGTTGCCCCCTGACTCCTTCAGGCATTTATCTCCCTCATTTCATTTAATCACTCATTCCTGCCATCGTCCGTGTTCATTTATTCTCTCATTCACTCACTCCCTTGCCCACTTGCTGTATTTACTTAATTCGTCATTCATTCATTCACTTATTCCACTGGTCTTCACTGCCACGGCCTGCTTTGTCCCAGGGCCTGTCTAGGAGGGGGCCATTGTCTAGAGCAGGGACACACAGGAGCTTTCAGTCTGGTGAGAAAGAGAAACCATTACACTGGGCAGAAAGTACGTAGTAAGAGAGACACACATTGCAGTGTGAGCCCGAAGGAGAGAGAGTCTGTGGTTCTGAGAGGCTCACAGGAAAGTAGAAGGATAAAGTGGCAGACGTTGGAGAAAGAGGAGGTGGAATTTGTGCTGGGCCCTTAAGGATGGGAATGAGCTGGCTGGGTGTGGACTGGGGCTGACAGAGGCAGATGTACAAGTCTCTACCCAACTTTCCTTGTGACTCCTGATGCCTTTTCTGGCCCTCGAGATGCCCCTTCTTTATGTCTCCTAAACTCACCACCTCTCACCCCACTCTGATTCATCTGCCTCAGATTCTGCCCACCTGCCTGACCCCTTGCCCATAAGCCAGTCCCTCATTTGTTCCAGGTCTCCTCCCTCAGAAACTCCAGACAGGGCATCCCCTGGGGTTCTGCTAAGGGTGCAAGAGGTACGGGGCGGGGAGCTCATCTTCTGAAAGACCCCCTCAATCCTCCACCTGCTTCAGACCTGGGCAACAGACTGACAGAGCTGACCAAGACCGTATCTCGACTGCAAAGCGAGGTAGCTGGTGTGCAGCGAACCCTGGCGGAGGGAAGGACACTCCGGCCCCCCGACGGTGCCAGTGTCCTCAGTCGCTACATCACCCGAGTGCGCAACAGCTTCCAGAACCTGGGGCCTCCCATCCCTGAGGCCCCGGAGCTGACAGTACCAGAGATTGTGGGGACCCAGGTGTCTTCAGAAACTGGGTTTCAGGACACTGTGGGGGGCAGGACTCCAGCGTCTGGAGAGTCCGGCCCCTCCTCCCCAGTTCCTGTGCTAGTGCACAGAGAGCAGGAAGCAGATGGGGCTGGGGACCTGCCCCAGGAGGAGGATTTGGGGACCAAGGGGGGGTTCTGATGCAGCAGACGTGTCCCTTCTGTTGCTGAGTCCAGCAGCCTAGATGGGGTAGGGTGGGTCTATGCTGCTTTCTTTGCTTCAAGAAAGTTTCTGTTCTGGATGGCAGATGCCTCCAGGGTGTGTGAGAATCCTTTCTCTTGAGGTCTTGACATCCTCGCCCCTCTTTCCCCTGACAGACCCCCGTGAGAGCAGCACAGAGAAAAAGGGCTTCCTCTGGGTCCCAAGACTCTTGGGTTAGGATTCTACTTTGGGCTTCCTTACAACTTTAGTGGAAAAAGTTCTGAACCAAGAGGCAGAAGGCCTGTTCAGTGCTAACCTTGACCTTGAGCACCTCTCTTCCTCCCTTGGCTTGGCATTCCTCACCTGATGGGGCTGCGGCCTCCGTCTGCCCCCTTTCTGCCTTCATGGCTGTTTCAAGGAACTTTAGGCTCTTCAAGCTTCTGGATTTGCAAGTTACAGTGTCTGACAGGGTTTGCACAGGGGACCATGTCCAGGGGTGATTAAGAAGTTACTCTTTTAGTTCCTTAGTCCCTGTACCTGGCAAGGTCACAGCAAGGGAGGTGGTCCAGCCTCATATAATAAACCAATCATAAAACGCCATGTCTCCACACTGCAACATCCTTTAATCAAGTGGCCATCACAGTACTTCCCTTGCTTGTCCCAGGAAGTCCCCACCACATAGCAGGGCTCCTTCAACCCTGCCATGGTCTCAGGAGAACCCACATCCTGGCTGAGGAGATGGCTCCTAGGGCTGGGCCTGGAACCACGGTCTTGCTGCTGCAGGCTGTGTGAAGTCCTCCTTCTTTGTAGGAAGGTCATCAGTTCCCAAGGCTCCTAAGTGGCAGGTGCTGGACTTTCAGGGCACAGCTCCTGAGAGCTGAAACCCCCCAGGGGCCAAGAGCGGGGTCTTCCAGGAGAGCAGAGAGAAGGCCCCCTCAGAGAGTGACTCTGGCTGCCCCCCAGCTGGAGAGAGAAGAAAAGAAGATAAAAGGGTCAGCAGGGTCTGCAGGAGTTGAAGCAGCTGAGGGAGGAGGTAGGAGGGCAACTTACCTGGTGCAGACACACAGCCCCTCCTCTTCTCCCCTGGAACAGACAGCGTGGTAAGGTCTCCACTTGGACAGACTCTCACATCCAAACTTCCCACCAGGCCCTGGCGGGGCCATTCCCCCTCTCAATCCATCTTTTCTTTCACCTAAAGGCAAACTTCCGACTTCCCTTCCTCCGACTTCCCCAGGGAATCTTTCCAGATTGCCTTTTCATCCCTGTTCCCAGCCAAGCCCGAGTCACACCTCGGACTCTGTTCTGTCCCTGCCTCAGCATCTGGGAATAGCATATCTGTGCCCTGTCAGCCCCATCACCTCCGCCTCCTGGGATCTGAAACAGTGCTCCTGTTTCCTTCCTCTGCCCGCCAACCTCCTTAACCAGGTTCTTTTGGTCTACTAGACTGTAGAACAGACAGACCCTTTCGCGAACATACAGAATCATCTGAAAATATTCACAGACTTGGAAAAAGGGACCTGACAGTACCTGAGTGACAGGACAATAACTCCAGCTCACTCCTAGCCCTCAACCCCCCATTAACCAAGTGGATCTCCTGAAGGTCCCAAGGATTGTGCAGGGACTTCCTGGCTTATTTCACCCACCCTGCCAGTCCTGCTTTCCCCATGCACAGCTCACCACCCAAATAGGCGCAGTTAAAGTGGCTGCAGGTCTGATTATAGCTCTGGAGAGTCACTAGGCTCTGGGCTCCATCCTGGGAAAATCTGGTGACCAAGAAGACTTCATGGGGGGGAATCAGCACCTCACGCTCCTCGGGAAAGACAGACAAGGCCTGGATAGGGGCCCCAAAGCAAGTCCTTAGAGAGAAGAGGGTGGCATTGCCAAATCTGCGGGCCACCGCCTTATCCAGGGAGCTGGAGGCAAACTGGCCCAAGCGGACAGAGTCCCCCAGCCTCCTGGGTTCAAAGCGAAGGCTGCCCACACCTCGGAACACCAGCTCCCCAGGTGCCCCACTGCAGCCTCCACGGTCCCGAAGCAGCTGCAGGGCCCGGGTCAGGTAGAAATGCAGGGCCTTGAAGGGGAAGTGCCTCATGTAGAGCTCCCGGGAGCCTCCGCCTGTCCGCATGGCCTGGTTCAGTTCCCAGTACAGGGTGTTGGATGAGTTGGTGTAGACCATGATGGCTATTCCATGCTGGGCTTTGAAGCCAGGGGGCAGGGCGAGTCCTGGACGCCTGTGCTCCCAGGCCTCCTGGGCTGCCTCCCAGGACTCCCGCAGCAGTGCATGGCGGGCCATCTCCTCCTTCAGCAGAGAGGCTGCCTTCTTCTCCATCTCTTCTGGACAGCCCACATAGGCGTCATCAAAGGTGTCTGGAGCGAGGCCCAGGGGCAGGATAGGGACAGCCTGGGCCTGTAGAGGAAGAAGGAGCCACACAGGAAAGGGTGTAAGCTCAGAGCTGTGGGCCGGGCTCCTGGGGGCAGATCAGTCCAGATACACAGAATCTCATTTCTATGCCCAGATATCTGGGAAGGGCCCAAGAAGAGACTTAAATAACATAGGCACTGGAGTCAGACAGACAGAGGTTCACATCTTGACTTTACCACCTACTAGCTGTGGAATCTTGGGCAGGTCTCAACTTTTCTGGGCTTCAGGTTCTCCTATAAACGGAGGACACTTCCAGCCTCACAGAATTACGATGAGGGCAGCATAAAGAGCTTCACCTCTGTACAACCTAAAAGGGGTCATCTTGTCATTAGGAAGTTTCTCGCACTGGGTGGGAAGTGGGGCTGGATGACCACCAAGCACTTTTCCATCTCTACCATTCAGTATTCAGGTGCTATACAAATGCACGGTCAGGGTCCTGACCCCCAACCTCATCCTCCTCAGACTCTCTTTCCCCCACATCCTTCGAGAAGCCCTTGCAGGTGCTGCAGGTGCTCAGCCACCACACCAGATCATTGTCAGCCGAGTCCCCTCCTGCTTCAGAAGCCTCTGTCCCCACCCTTGGGGTGGGGTTGGTGGGAGGCCAACCCTTGGCTGGAAGGGGCTGGCAGGTCCAAAGCACACGTGCAGCCCAGTGGGGTTTGCCCAGGCTGTGCCTGTGATGGGTGATGGGGTGTGGGGAGGAGGACACGGGAGGATCCCTAGAGAGGGAAGGAAGGAAGGAGGCTCACAGGGGGAGCCGTGTAGAGGTGGGGGCTCTGGGAGCGGGAGTGGGGACTGTGGTCTCCCTGCAGGGATGGATGGAGGCCCCTGACAGGAAGAGAATTAAGAGGGGTGGGATCCTAGGGAAGAGTCCCTGGGCGGGTCCGGAGGACTTGGGTCCCCACTGCCTCCTTGGTGGCAGGATGCGGTTCCTGGAGTTACCTGCCAGCAGGTGTGGAGGCCGAGGCAGCTGAGGGCGATCAGCAGAGCCGCCAGCATCATCCCTGGGACTCAGGAGGGCCAGGTCCGACAAGGGGGGGCCGGCGGCGGTGCAGTCCCGGCTTCGACGACGACCCGGACCCTTTTCTCCCACGGCGTGAGGGGTCCCCGGTCCGGGACCCGGGCCGGGCGGGGCGTGGGCGGGGCCGTGGGCGGGCCTAGGGGTGGGCGGGGCCTTGGAGTTTGCCGTCCCGACACAGCCCCGCGTCTCCGCTCCCCAGACTCCCGGACGCCCCCATCCTCGACATCTCCTGCCCGGGGGTCCTTCTGGCGACGGCCAAAGTGGGGCTGTAGCTTGGCTGCACCCGAAGGGGAGGGTCGGGGAACCCAGGACCCACCTGGAGGTGGCGGAGGCCGAGCGGGAGCCGAAGTCCGGGCGGGCGCTGCGCTGTCTCCGGAATCCAGCTGATCACGTCCCCGGGGCTAACTATAGCCCCCGCGGCGGTCACCTGACACCCCTCTTCCCTGACAAGCGACGGGGGTGGTGGAGTGGGAGTGGCGGGGGAGGGCGCTGAGGGCTAACCCCCCTTCTCGAGGGCCGCGGGTTCTTTTTCCGGGACCCTCCTTGGGCCTGAGCCAGGCCGGGGTCGGGGAACGTGTGAGACTCGGCCTCTCCCTCGGGGGGGCCCCGACCTCCAGGCCAGGGAGCCCCGCGGGAGTCGCCCGGCGAGAGGTCACCCCTCGTGCGCTCGCCGGTTTGCACAATTTGCATACGGCTCACGCGTTGGGTCCCACGCCCGCCGCTGAGCAGCGCCCCCTCCCCGCGCTTGGTGGCCCTCCCCCTTCCCCACCCGCAGCGATGGACCGGAGACCCGGCCCTCGGGCTCCGATCCTCGGGGTCCAGCCCGCCCCTCCCCCAGACCCCTTCTCTGGGTCTCTCAGACTCAGGTGACCCCGTGTTTGTAAACACCAGCCTGCCACCCCCC